ATACCATTTTTCAAATGGTGTCTTGCCATCAATAGCAGCAGATGGTAAACGATTAATGAGGTGACATGCATATGTAATTGCCTCAGCCCAAAATTCTTTGCCCAAGCTAGCGNTCTGGTGTGGAAGATCAGACTAAGCTGCAACCATAGAGCATACTAAGACAGAATCTTGACACAGTTACCAAGATAAATCTTTTCTGATGTGGAAGATCAGACTATGCTGCAACCACAGAGGATACTAAGACAGTACCTTGGCTCTTATACCAATTATTGCGGAAGCCAAATGTATATAGTGTGAATAAGTCACAACTACTATACCAAAAATTATGACAGCCACCAAATAATAAATAAGACAATAAGCAACAATAAAGGGAACACCAGAATTTACGAGGTTCGGCTAATTTTGCCTACTCCTCTGACACAACCAATATTTTATTCCACTCCAAAAATACAAGTGAAATAATACTAAAGAGAGAAGATACAAATGCCTTAAACAGATGAGAAGGCAAATGAGAGGTGTATATAAATCCTAAACATTAAGCCTTCTTTTATAGGGGGAAAATCCCCCCAACTTTTGTTTTCCCACCGATGTGGGACAAACATTTTGTCAAATTCAACAATATGCATATGCGACAATTATTAAAATTTCAAAAAGAATATAATTTTGGACCTATAATTTCAAAAGTATAGTGAGTTCATGGTAAGAAACTAAAGTTAAACTCGTCAAATATAAATTCTAGATCCACCTCTTTACAAAAGTGCACTCATCCTCTTAATATCCTGGATCCGCCTCTGTCTATAACGTTCAACTCTCATTCTCGTACCCTGCCCTTTACCCCAAAATATTAAGATTTTTATTAAGTATCGATTAGTTTATCAGATTATTAAGATTTTGCCTCACTCGGCACTCTCCAAAACTCAGAAATATTTCGAATGAATTACCAGAGAAAAACATACGCAAAAGAATTGTTTTTTCTCCTTTTCATAAATTTTTTTGATTGTCAGCAATTCACTTATTTCTTCGTACTAAACACACCCTAAGGGGTCGTTTGGTATGATGGATAAGTAAAAATAATGCGGGATAAAAATTCAATACTGTCTTATTGCTTGTTTGGTTAATAATTCTGGGATAAGCTATCCCTCGATTAAAAGTAGTTTTGCGATAATTATACTCTCTGCCAGAGGGTGGAATAGTAATTACAAGAAAAGTTATCTCACAATAAGGTAGTAAAATTGATAATTTCCGAATTAATACAATGTACCAAACTGTTAATAAAAAATAATATCAGTATAACTAATCTCAGCATAACTTCTCTTCGAACCAAACGATCCTTAAGTACGTGGAGACTCCAAGTGGTCAAACTATTCTCTTTCTATATATTTTTTACAAAGAAAAATCAGGGAAAATTAGTAAGTAACTTTTCTGGTAAGATGTGTTTCTTCTTCCTCTTCAACCCCTTTCAATTAGGTGTGTACAAAGAAAACTGATAAACCGCATCAAACCGATAATCCGAGTCAAATTGGGGGAAAAATGTGATGTGATTAGGTTTAATTTAGTTTGGTATTGGAAACAATTTAAAAACCCGACGATAATTGATTTGGTTTGATTTTAACTGAAAAAAGTCAAACCGAAACCAAACCAATCTGATAGTACATTTATACAAATTCTAAAAATATTTTATACATATAAATATTTATTGTAATGTAATTTATAAATATTTCTTAAACGTTTTCACAGTTTTATCTTTTAACGTATTATTTCAAGTTTGAAATTAACATTCTTGAATGGTAGTAGCTCATAAATGTAGTAACTCAAACAAAGTTCAAATCAATACTAATGCCAACAAAAGAAATTCAATTCAACACTAGGAATGGCGATAGTACCGGATATGTATTTTTAGTTTTACATTGGTTTATAATGAAAATGTATAACTTAGTTTATTTTTTTCTTTAGCGGTTAATTATGTAATTAATAATACTTATTAGCTATGTTTATTTTAGCATGACCTATATCGTATTTTTAGATTATGTTAATTTTTATTATGACTTATTAATTAACAATATTTGCTTTATGTAATTTTATTATCTTTGTTATTGAATATTTTAGAATAATGCTATGACATATCTCATAATATTGTGTTATTTTCTTGGGAAATACATTATATAGTTGTATTTTACTAGGACTTAAGAAATATTTGGAGCACANAGAAAAGAAAGAAAAAAAATGATTTATCATATATAGGACCTTTACATTCTCGTTTGCATATTTTTCAGTCATTCTTTTGAAACCCTATTGTTTCTAGCTCATCTTTTTCTTTCCTCTTCAGGATTAAAAAGGTGTTTGTTTTTCTTCCCCTTTTTCATCTGCTCTTACTTTTCTTTGGGATCTGATCATTTTATGAGGACCATAAGGTTTTATGAGAGTTAGAGTTATTCAATTCCCGAGGTGGGAATTAGTATAAGAATATAAAAAACCCCTCCAATATTGCTTTATTATGTTCAAAAGTTGAAAGAGAGTGAGAGCCAGAAACAAGCATTTTTTACATATCCTTTTATAGTTACTTTGATTGATCTGGATTCTGAATAGAAGAGTTGAAAGAATCAGATCAAGGGAAGAACAACTCTAGAGGATCATTATAAAGGTTGTCTATTTATCTTCTCATTTTCTTCTTCTTTGATCACTTTTTTCATTGTATTGTAATTGTGTCTCAAAATATTTAAAACTTCTTGTTTTCATCAAATACTTATTCACTACCTAGATCTTATTTATCCCTCCTTTTTCTCGATCTTCTTCTTTTTGCAATTTCAAATTTCTAAACAAAGTGTTATAAAAATAAAGTAGTAATGGACAAAAAATTTAGGATAGATGTGCATTTGTGCTGGGATATTTAGGTGCATGCTTTTGAATATTTAGCACTATTTTGATGCTAATAAATCTCTTATTTTGTTGCACTTCTTTGAGAATATATGTTTTTTACGTTCGTTATGGTTGAACAAAGTAAAGGTATTTTTTAAAAAAAATTGATTACACAGTATTTTACTTTATGAGTGGAGGAAACATTATACTTATTGTACTTGTTTCATTCAGGGTTCATGCCTCAGGCTAAAGCAAACTTGAGTAGTTTTAGCCACATCTATCTTCAAGTGATTAGAGCTCTCATGCTTTTATCCCCACAAAAGTTGACAAAACAAAACTCCTCGACATATATCATTTACTTTAGTGTTTATCAACATACGTGTTTTCTTACAATTTTACGTAGGAAAACTCTTTTTGCTTTGTTTTTCTTCATTTATGTTTTTTCAATTTGGATTATTACTGTCATAGATTTATGGTGATTTATAAGTATAGTTAAATTTGTTTTTACTTTTGGTATTTTTAAGGCTTGATATCCGGTGTTAAATAGGAAACTCGGTGTAGATATATTATGTGAGTATCTTTAAGTTTTCTACGGTTAATCACCATTGAATATCTTTTGTTTTTCACCTGTTACTAGCTAGTTTAAGGCAAGAATGCATATCTATATGATAAGACGATGATACTAAAAAAACCCTTAATTAAATTATCATATTATTCCAGTTTGATATAATAAAGCATACGTTAGTTTCTTTTGATTTTATAGTTTGGTCTAAAATATGTGGAAAAAGATAATTTTAGTATCCCCTTTATCCAATCATGTGTTCTCTCAGTATTTGGGTTCCTCAAATTCTCCTTCTTCTTCTGCTGCTCTTGTTTATAACTTATTCTTTTCTCTGTATGAAGTACAATAAAATACTATGCATGGAACTATTGTAACATTCGAAAATTAAACTGAAACTGTATATAAAAATTCATTCTTGAAATTTTCAAACTTAGGCTTGAACTTCTATATTCCCCCTTCCCTCTTGAAGATGCAATCTTTTGTTTCAGTTATGTATGAGCACTTCTAGGAAAATCCTTATGTATCAGCATTTGCTGTAAAATCCTACTCATTAAACGGTCTAATTGTAATTTAATCAACAATTCTCCTAGCTAAAATTGAAGAAGTAAAAACAAAATAATTAACTGCACAAAAACTTAAAAGGTACTAACTCATGAAGTATATTCCATGAATTTTTTGAAAAAATATTATCACACAAGGATGCACATTGAAACTTTAAAATGGACAATCTACTCCATAAGCTGTGGAATTTACGTAATTCTATTCTTGACTTTTCATGTCTATGTTGTTAATCTTAAAGCATGACTTTTTGCTTGAAAACTGTTATTTAATTTTCAAACAACGAAATGAATTGATGTTTGATCCCTAGTTTTGATATTTTTAGGAAATCTATCTGAATCCTAGATGTTATGTTCGTTTGTCTACTCGCTCTCAATTTCATCACTTATGGATTGAAAATATGACATGTATGTATCAATTTTTAATTTTCCATTGTCTTTTTGCCTTTGAAGACACTGTACTCTAATTTCGTTACACTTGTATTTCTTTGAAGCTTAAAATATATATGATACACACTTATAAGCTTTCCTATTAAAGTCTGAAAAGAATAAGTCAAAATCTTCACTTTAATTTGGCTTAGAGATATGTTGAAGCTAATATTGATGCGTTCACTACAATGCAGGTCTTGATTTGTGGAGGAAAGACATGAATTCGTTTACACATGTTCCTCCAGGGTTCAGATTCCACCCCACGGATGAAGAATTAGTTGATTATTACCTCAGGAAAAAGATTGCTTCAAAAAGAATCGACCTTGATGTCATTAAGGAAATTGACCTTTATAAAATCGAGCCATGGGATCTTCAAGGTAGTTACTAATTATGTTGCTTGGACTCTCCGAAAATGTCATCAGGTGCATGTCGGATCCTAAAAAGTAGTGCCTTTTTGATGGATCTGATACTGGTGCGGGAGGATTTTGGAGAGTCCGGAAACATAGGTTACTAATATACATAACCCTAGATAAAAATGGTCTTGTACTTACTGTTTTTATTCGATTTTATCAGAATTGTGCAAGATAGGAACTGAGGAGCAAAGTGATTGGTACTTTTTTAGTCATAAAGACAAGAAGTATCCAACTGGAACTCGTACAAATAGAGCTACAAAAGCAGGATTTTGGAAAGCTACTGGAAGAGATAAGGCTATTTATCGTAAGCACATTTTGATTGGAATGAGAAAAACCTTGGTATTTTATAAAGGTCGAGCACCAAATGGACAAAAATCTGATTGGATAATGCATGAGTACAGACTTGAAACAAATGAGAATGGCACTACTCAGGCAAGTATTCTAAACCAAACATACTTGTTAAATCTTGACACATGCAACGTATCTCAAAACTATCTCAATTGAAGAAATCTTTAATTATGAAGATTTTATTTCTTCCCCTTGTTACATTCCTAGACTAATTACCACTGCCTATAGAAAAAGAGGGTCAGTTTTAAGTTTATTGAAGTCGAATAAAACCACTAATTTTCTTCAGTTGATGACATGAGATTATTGTAGTTAAGTTCTGATCTTGCCTTGGCTAGATTAGGTCTGTAGATTTTTTAGGCACTTAAATAGTTAAGATGCTTATAAAAATCATTCCCTTCCCAATTTTGCTCGGCATGCATTTATAACTAATGTCTCAAGAATCATACGAATTCTACTATTATCAAAAAGGAAATTATTATCTCTAGAGCTTAAGTTATATACATTGACCGTATAAGAATTTTTAAACTTTTAGGATAATTTAACAGGTTATAATAGTAGGTTATTAATTTAATTTTTAGGTTACCGTATCATGTTTAATATGGAGAATTACCGGTTGTTATAATCAACTGAACCCTAATAGTGTAAAAATTACTTATATTGTTAGTGCGTAGAACATAAAACTCTATATCCTAACATTATGCTTATCCATTATATTACACCTGCAGGAAGAAGGTTGGGCTGTATGTAGAGTATTCAAGAAAAAATTAGCAACAACAATGAGGAGAGAAGGAGAGCACGAGTCACTATGTTGGTATAACGATGATCAAGTTTCTAATTTCATGCCAGATTTCGAATCTCCACGTCGTTTTCCAAATCCATATTCTGCAACTGCATACCACAATCCTCAGTTTGCTTACACCAATAATATGCAGCAGCCTCCTAATGATGCATTTCTCCAACTTCCTCAATTAGAGTCACCAAAAGTACCTCAATCCTATGGAAGCAACATGAATCAAATGGTACAGTCCAACTCAATTTATAATACACATAACAACAACTATGATCATCAAGCAGTGGATCAAGTGACCGATTGGCGAGTACTCGATAAGTTTGTTGCATCTCAACTAAGTCAACAAGATGGTTGCAGCAAAATGGAGACATCTGCTGCTTGCTGTAGCTCTCCTGCTTCTGAACAAATGAATCTGCAGCTTCAAAATGATTTTAAGAGTCAAGAAATGGCTTCAGAACTTGCCTCAAGTTCTCAAGTTGATCTCTGGAAGTAATGCTACATTATAAGTATATGCTAAATCATAGAAAATATATGATGATTGGACTTAATATACTTAATTGCCTCAGTTTCTGTACATAATAAAACTCAAATGTGATGTATTATTCGTCGACATCCTACTAAAAGTTTGTATGTTCTATATGAGCTAGGCAACAAGTATTTAAAATATTTAAAAAAAAATAATTAAAGAGGACCTCTAATACGTATATAAATTTGTTATTTTTAAGGCAAAAGTAAGCTGTCACTCTTCTGGCATTTCTGGGATGTTGGATAATGTATTTCCATTAGTGCAGCGCTCGTTATTCTACTACTTTCTTTTTTACAAAAAAAATTACGTAGTTTAATTTGGACCATTCTTGATTTGTTGTATCATTCTTGTACACAAGTTATGCTAATATTCTTTGTATCTTTCCAATTTTATCGATGTCTCTGAAGGGGCGACATTGTTCTGCTTATGAAATTGAGTGATCTCGAGAAATCTTAGTGTGATATATTTACTTGAGCTGAGGTCTGTTAGAAACAGTATCTCTATCTTCCCAAGGTAGGGGTAAGGTCTGCGTACACACTATTCTCCTTAGATTCCACTCGTGAGACCGTACTGAGTATGTTATTGTTGTTGTTGGATTGAAAGGTTGACAATGCTAGCTTTTCCACCATAAGCGTAAAAATTTAAATGAATATCTCCTGCTTATGGAAGCAAAGAATTTATTGGGAAAGGAGTATTATCACTTTTAATCCGCACCAGAAATTATTTATATCTAGTAGCCGAAAAAATATATAACATTTTTATATTTTTGTATATAACATACGAAGTGTGTGTATATATATATATACAAATTTATACATTTTTTCGGATATTATTTTTACGACGACTATACTGTGTCATTTCCTCATTGGGAAATACTAAGCTGACAATGAGAACCTCCCATTTGGTCTAATCCAAAGAAGAAATTGATCCTGATGACATTTCTAAATAACAATTCTAACTCTCTGCTCTCTCGAGTCTCACTGTCACCTATTTTCAAAAAGGGATGTATTGAAGACAAATTAAATAACTAAAAGTGTGCTATGTCAAACAATTAAACCTTTAAATGAGACAATTACATATACTTAAGGATATATATAACTGAACCTCGACATGAGAAGTTCTTAGGAAGTTCGGTAACAAAAGTATTCTGCTAGTTGTCATATGATATTTGATTCAAATAAATGCATGTAATAGGTTGCAAACTTGATCTCAATGCAAAGAATAGCCTGTTAGAATATACGCAGCGGAAGCAAGCATACAAATCAGGCATCAAATACATGTGAACTAGACAACGTAATAATAACAAGATTAGAAACACTAACCTCTTGAAGTAGTTGCACAAACCTTCGAAGCAGCAAGAATCCAAGGCTGCAATCTTCTGCTATTTGCCTAGTAAAACCTTGGACGATTTGGCTATTGGGTGGGCAAGAACAATACAACTGAAAGGTAAGTTATTAGGTGAAACTAGTTTTCCTTTAATAGACCCGAAATTAAGCCACAATAGGGGCTCAAAAACGTGTAGGATTCTGCAAGTAGAATCCTACTCTAACTCAAAAGGATAACTTTTCTCCCAAGCTACTTTTTACCTATGTCTGTCCAGGTTTTTACTAGGTATAGCAGGGACCACATAAATAATAAGAGGCGACTAATTATAGTATTAATTCGAAATTAGCATGAATTAACTCTTACTGTAATTAATTGCAATTTATTTCACTAAAAAACTACAATTGAACTCCTTAATATGAATTTCGAAAATTCATTAACACTTATTTTAACTCCCCATGTTAAGATTTCAAATACCAGTTAATTAAATTAAATCACTGAAAATTTAATTCAATTGACTAGTTAAATCCTTTACAATTCCGCTTAAACTATTTCATGTGACGGATTCAAAATCCACCGGCCGAGTTTTCACATGAAAATTTATAAGCTTACATAAAGGGGTATCATCAAACCCAAAACCGAGTCATGGATTCTATCCACTAATTATTATTCACAAATGTTATTCGTTATTGTCCAATCTATTAGGCATATACTAACTCTAAATAGAGTCGTACCTTTTGATAAATCAAAACAATAAACAAATTACATTGATCATAATAATTAGATCAAGATTAGGAGTATAAGTTCATTTAATGAATTAGAGAAAATATTTTATATATTCAGTACAAAAACATCTTTTCTCTACTTGATCCATTCAGTATACACCGAGTATACTAGCACAAGAAGTTGGAATTAAACTACTCCCATAATCAAGACAAATTATACGATAATCTTGTGCTACAACCATCAAGATATTTTGTCCAACAATATCTTTGATTGTGAACACAGCTTATTAATTATGAGAACCAACAATTTAATCTTTTGTGCATGAGCTAAGACTCCATACGCTAAATTGTCTACTACATAACTAAAAGGATACACATGTAACAAATGATCTATTTAAAATAGTACTTTATTGAATTGAATAAATTAAATAAACAATTGTTCCATAAAAAATAAAATATAATATTATATCTAAACAGCATGGTTAATAGTATATCCCAACATAGCCTTCAGTAAATGCATGGTGATTCACGTTAATAAGGAGTAAATTCTTCCTATAAATTATGAGTAACTTATAAGGTTCTTCAAAATATCTAGTTTTCTCATAATTAAACTGATAAAAGCCAGCTTGCTTGTCTAACCAAAATCATAAAGAAAGTTTATAACTGTAACTCTCCAAGCATAATAAAAACTAAAAGGGTAGTCCGGTGCACTAAACTCCCACTATGCGCGGGGTCCGGAAAGAGCCGGACTACAGGGCCTATCGTACACAGTCTTACCCTTGCATTTCTGTACAAGGCTGTTTCTACGGCTCGAACCCGTGACCTCCTGGTCACATGACAACAACTTTACCAAATACGCCTACGGTCCCCTTCAATCATAATAAAATCTAAACGGATAAATAAAATAAATAAAAAACTAAGCTAAAGTCTGAAGACTAAAAATATTCCCTAAGAAACCTTGGATAACCCTCAATATTAGCAGTAATGACCAAACTTGAAGTCTACTTCAGACGCATTAAACTAAAACCACTCAAACTTTCTTTGGTCAGTTTGTCCTACCTTGAAGTTCAAATATACTAGCATAATAAAAGTTTAATCAAAGAAAATGAAACTAACAAAATTATATTTAAAACATGAATTCCCAGTAATTAATTAAGTTATTGCTTCAAGTTTCATAATTCAGCTCACCTTTCTCTTTGATTTGAAGACATTGCTGCCAAGCTAGAAGCTCTATGCATATAATAGCAAGCTATTCAGAAAAAATATGGCTTCCTAGGTTAAGGTAGATGTAGAACAGTAAAAGAGTTTGTATTCTAAAATATTAAGGTGGAAGAAGGTGGACAGGCAGAATTGTAGAATTTTGGTGTGTAGAATTCAAATTTCAGTTGGTGTTAAATACTTAAAGAAAGTGGATAAGAAAGAAAAGAAAGAACACAGAATTTCATAACATAATTATGCAATTAGAAGTAGAAATGAAGGACGTTGTCTTTTACTTTTTGAGGCAGTTATTAAACTTAATCATGGGTTTTTACTTTGCTGTGGTTGAAATTGAACTCAAACATAGACAGTCCCTTTCAAGCAAATGCCAATTTTAGAGAAGACATCATTATTGAGCGTGCTTTCGTGGTCTCATAATTAACCATTTCTAATGCACTCCGGTAGACAAGGCCAAGGTATTGGGACGGGAGGAGAGGGACTATATATATTTACCAAAATAAATTAATTTGTTTTCACATAACGGTAGCAGAAAATTTGTCCTATTTTTCTGTATGCAAAGTAAACTCAAAAAAGATAAATAAACTAATGTCAAGCTGGAGAAATCAGCTTATTTTGAGGAGAGAAGCTGTTTGTGTTTGGCTAATTACTCTAAAAAATACTTTTGAGCAATAATTTGTGTTTGACCAAGTTTTTCAGAAAATGCTTTTAAGTATCAAATTACGAATAAGGACATGAATAGATTTACTTAATAGTTAATATTATAAGTAAATAAATAATCTCAAAAATTTGTTATTACAGGCAATAATTAAATTTTTTTATTTTATTTAAGTAAATAATGAAAATAAAATTAAAAAGTACTTAATTCTTTTAATATAAGTTAAATATATTAAAATTCATTCAACAAATATAAAAACATTCACTCCTAAAGTCACTATATATTAGAAAGCTATCCTATACATAAGAAGAAATATTTATACATTAATATCCTAAGTATTAAGTTTAACGGTTATTTTGGTATATACTATATATTGTTAAGGGTATTTTAGGTAAGAAGAAAAGTCAAAATTGCTTCTGCTTTTGCTTTTAGGAAGAAACTACTTTTTTTCTACTTCTTAGAAATTACTTATGTTTCTTCCTAAAAGCACTTTTTCCTTCCAAAAACGCTTGGCCAAACACCTCGAAAAAAAAGTGCTTTTAAGATAAAAAGTATTTTTGACCTCTTGAGAAACTTGGTCAAACAAACTATAATTCACCATTTTTTTATTTGGGACTGAATCCCCGTAATTTCTTTGTGTTTCGAGACGAAAAATAGACTTCTAAAACCTAATGGAAATTATGGAAGGGATTGAGCAGGGCATGTGCAGGTCATGTTTGAGTCTATAATTAGGGTTTATATCAATTGTTTTTTGGCACTCTTATGTTGTTTTGAGGACTAAGGAATATAATAAGATTAGCATTGACCCAATTATTAATATTCCATGTGATGGCCCATCATTTGGACGTGAACTTTTTACACCCTAGATCCCAGACCATCACTGTCCCAAAAGACAAAAATTGGCCCTTAGTAGTCTCTGTACTGTCTTAACTTAGAATTCCAACTTCTTTTTCCCGTATTAAGTTATTAATAAAGAATACAACGAGTGCTTATTCTATGTTTATACTTTATACTCCACTAATTTGATGCACTCATAGGATCTTAGCTTTGACTTCCTCGATTTTCGTTTCTTTAGTCCCATAAATTTAAATATTGTCCTATCATAGAAAGCATAGAGTTCTGCTATCCTACTTCTAAAAAAGTTTGAAGCAGTGCTTTTCTCAAGAAACGTTTAAATCTATGTTTTTGAACCTTTTGGATGATAAACTAAAGTATAAAAAAAAAGAATTATAGTTCGCGAGGGAGTAGTTCGATCTCTTGGTAAAGTTGTATGCAGGCGAACATTAGCTTCCGCTAGTTCAAGAGTTTGCTGAGCTTCTTGTGGATCAATGTCACTATCCTTCTCCCTATTATTTACTAAAACAGAGTGATCTCATTATTGCCTATTCTAGCAAAACCACCCATAAGAGCGATCGTTAATCATTGGTCGTTAAGATGTATTCTCAAAATCTCTATATCTACAGTTGTGGCAATAGGGGCGTGATTTGGTAATATGTCAATTTCACCGCTATTATTAGATAAAACAATTTCTTCCACTTCTGAATCCCAAACAATTCGATTAGGGGTCAGTACACTAAGATTTAAGGTCATTTCTTCGGAGAGCACGTCAATAAGGGGCTAAAAGATCTACTACTTTAATTCATGTTTCAAAAATAGATAATTTTGTATCCGATGGTTTACTCAATTACTTTTTGGGAATGTTAAAAAAAAAGATTACTACGTGATTTTTTGAATCGGCCTGTATCTATCGCCTTTCCTTCATTAGTTTGCTTTGTTTATTGGTTTATTGTAGGGCATATCTCATTGCAAGATTCATCGACTGGAATCCGATTTTATTTCCATTATACTTATTTCCACTTTCTTTAGTTAATAGAACCTTCTAACTTAGAAATTGGTTCCCTAAGACGTCTTCTGTCTTCGCGCTTTCTAAAAACAACCCTAACCTTCCACGCAAGTTAACAAGCACACTTGGAGAGCGCAGTACAACGGAGAGTTGTATGTTGCATTCGGGAAGGATGAATCGCTCCCGAAAAGGAATCTATTGATTCTCTCCCAATTTGTTGGATCATAGGTGTGATGATTTACTTCACGGGCGAGGTCTCTGGTTCAAGTCCAAGATGGCCCAGTTGCGCCAGGGAAAAGAATAGAAGAAGCATCTGACTACTTCATGCAAGTTCCACTTGGCTCAGGGGGATATAGCTCAGTTGGTAGAGCTCCGCTCTTGCAAGGATTAACGTTTCATTTCTATTTCTATGGTCGATGATCATAGAAGCCCCTTTACCATTCTGTATAAATAGCGACGGGCGTATGAGTTTATATTGGACCCATACACATAATTTTAATATATTGGACCCATTATATTTTTAAAAGTATGAGTTCATATCTACTATTTTTGCAATTTAAATAAATTTTTACACATAATTTTTTTATTCCACATTCAAATTACAGATTTTTTTATTATTTTAATCTTAACATTTCAAGTGCCACTAGTTATGAATTTAGTTAAACTCATCATTAGCACACTATATATATAGTGTGTTTTTGCACTTACTTAGATGGAATTTTAACACATACAGGTACTGCTGTCTTTGTTATAAGCTATTTGTACGTATTTGTACGTATTCAAAGGATAATCAAATACGATTTGATTGTACAGAATGGACCATTCATTTTGCCTGAAGAGACAAGAAATGTAGGCAGTCAATATGATGAGCAAGTGATAGCCAAAAAGGGAACATCATCCATTTTCTACTTTGTCATTGATGTTGTGCTAATGCACTAAGCAAACAAAGAATTAAGTAAAGGACAAGCAATTCATTTGATCTTTTTCAATCATTGAACGACCTGAAAATTAATTGAGACCACCCTTTACTATCCTCCCTTTGATGCAGAATTTCAAGACAGGTAATGGTTATTGGTCAATTGAAAAGTTAATGAAAATATTCCTAGCTGAGAAGATAAGGAGGAATAATCTGAAGGCTGAAAACAAGAGTGCAAGCTGAGCAATTATTACTTCCTCAATGTTATCATGTATGTCACATTCTTTTCTCTCTCTTTGTAGGATTTCGTGTTCATTTACAACCAAACAATTGCTGGGACCACATCCAGTAAGGGAATCTCGGAGCAACAATCAAGTTGTCTCTGTGTAATCTACAGGTCACGGATTTAAGCCGTAAAATTAGCTACTAATACTTGCGTCTGGTTAGGCTGCCTACATTAGTAGGATGAGGCCCTTCCCCGAGTCATACGTGAATGTTAGATACTTTGTGCATCGGATTGCCCTATAATTGAAACTACATCTGCTTAATCAAAGTATTTGTTGTGTCTTAAATTAGATAATAGTAACTTGTCCCATATTGTTCCAATAATCCAATTCCTCTGCTCTAAAACAGGATATCAATTAGGCAAACAATATCAGTTTGTTCTTTTTATGGGGCACAAGCAGAATATGCCGTGGAAACAAAACTGCTGAAACTGTGCAACCCTCACAAGGGTTTATGTACAAAGGACATCTGTCTTTTTTCGGTATTTTTCTTTTTTAATAATCGCGGTGTTTGGGCTAGCTTTTGCGCAACTCTACTAATTTTACAAGATACCTGCTACCTTCTACCAGTAACAAATAACTTTATCCATCAATATTTGGACAGATGAGAAGAAATCACCTAGTATTTTTGTCTCCGCTTAGATATGAACCTGAGATCTCAGGTTCTCAACCCATGTTGGACTTCAGCTTACTACAACCCATTATACAGGCCCATCGGTTTAGATAGGATGTATTTATTTGTATTTTGAGTTTCTGGCTAAAGCCCCATGTAATGTAAATAATAGATACAAAAATACAAAAGAAAGTCTGGGACATTTGAGAATATGATAGAAAATATTTTTCTCTCTCTAGTTCTTCTTTCTCCCATGAGCCCTAGTCAATTCTTCTTCATTTTCAGCTCGATTTAGTAGTTTTACATGGTATCAGAGCGAATGATCCGCTGATTCTCATCTTCCTGTTTCGAGCGGTGTTACCCTCGCTCATTTTCATTAATATTTCGCTTGATTGTCGATGTTCATGGTTGATTCTGTTTCTGGTAGCTTCCTCTCGATTTGCAGATAGATTCAAGGTCAGAGTTACCTCTTCGTCATCTATTGGTGGTATTTGTAATACGCGTGGGTGAATTTGGATTGATTTAGGGTCTGTTCTGTTTAGACTTTTGGAATTTACATTCAAGGCCGTTTGTTTTTCGGTAGCGAAACATACAGTAATCTCTCCTAATTTTCACTTCATTGCATTGGTCATATGTTTGTGTTCGTTACTTTGACGAGAGTCTCTGACCGTCGCTGTCACACCTCCTTTTTCCGCCCCCGCGAGGGGTGATGGAGTTTTTCCAATTAAAGGACAATCGAAACGGGATTTGTTTATTTGTTTCAGAGTCGCCACTTGGGAGATTTTAGGGTGTCCCAAGTCACCAATTTAATCCCGAATCGAGGAAAAGAATGACTCCATATTACAGTCTGCGTACCAGAAATCCGGATAAGGAATTCTGTTAACCCTGGAGAAGGTGTTAGGCATTCCCGAGTTCCGTGGTTCTAGCACGGTCGCTCAACTGTCATATTCGGCTTATTTATCTGATTTAATACAATTATGAACCGGTGTGCCAGTTTTAACTTTTTACCACTTTATTATTATTATTTTTAAAAGAATGTGAACATCGCTTAAAACACGTCTTTGGACTGCGTCACATGAAATGCACCCACAATCCGGAACACATTTTATTTGATGTTTTGGGATTTGGATTTGGGTCGCATGAAATGCACACCCAAGCTTAAGAAAGTAAACTATTAAACACGCGCCTAAAGAGACTATCGCGTTATTATTTTGGGAAGGCCGTGAAATTCGCTAAACGGCCCTCCCGAATTCTAAGTAATTAACACATAT